TCTATCTATATATGTATCTATCTATCTATTTATCTATCTGTCTATCTATCTATCTATCTATCTATCTATCTATCTATCTATCTATCTATCTATCTTAGGAGTATCTTTGGTGTTGCGGTTGGTGAGCACTTGAGACTCATGAACAAGCTCAACTACACAGTTAGTAAAGGATTCAAACCAAGGCCCACCTCAGCACTTTTCAGTTGTACGATACCACACCTAACTCCTCATTTGCCGCTAAGCGTCGAGGAAAGAAGGCGTTTTCTACGTAGGACAGCTCTGCAGCTCTTTCAGTTGGGATATTATAATTTTTCAGGACGTCCTGGACTCCCTCAATTCATCTTTTGCGTGGTCCACCTATTCCTTTATAGCCGGAGTACTTGGTGTTGCAGGTTCTCGAGGCTGGCTCGCTAGGTGACGTTCGTAACAGTTTGCCAAACCATTAAACTTTTATTATCTGTTTTTATCTGAAATACAGCAGGACTCAGAGCCAATAAACGTCACTCTTAAAGTAGTAGTAATACTAGAGCTAACGGCACTTCCTTTTTTCTAATTGCAGTTGTTCTTTCAACGAATCACATCTCTTCAGGTGGTTCTAGAATGTTATCACCAGTACGTATGGTGCAATGGTTAAAAACTTTGCTGATGCACGCAAAAGACACAAGTTTTACCCCTACATGGGAAAATATTATATCTTATTGAGAATTTTCTTCATTCGGCTTGGATGTTGTATCATAGCAATCTACCTTTTTTTAAGATATAAAAATAAAATTCACAGTCAGTCAGCGCAACTTTCCCAAGCGAGCGTCTGTGATTATAAGTTGGGCACCTCGCCGTCGCACGCATAAGACGTTTAGAGATTTTAAAAAGTCAAATGTCTCCCTCTGTCTGATAGTACGCTGTATCCATCTCAGTACGGGTTGGCCTCGACATGCAGGGTCGTAGCAATCTGCCCCATGTAAGTTCTAAATGGTGTCAATGGGGACGTAAACCTACTACATCACAATTTATATTTCTTCCACAGGTTGTGTACATTCTGTTCACGCTGTTCTTCATCATTCGAGAGCTCCGTGCATTCATCAAACAGCGTCTCAGCTATTTCAAGAGCTTCTGGAATCTCGTGGAGCTGGGAATCATTGCCATGAGCATCGCGGCTATCGTCATCTTTTTCTACAGACTTTTTGTGACCAACGACCTCACAGAAGCGTTCAAGGTTTGCTACTTAGACTTTCATTCCGTTTTTACATACATTTAATGCCCAACGATCTCGAGGCGGCGTTCAATGTTTATTACTTAGACTTTCACTCTTTTCTACGGTCGTTTTATCACAAACAACCTAACAAAAGCGTTCAAGATTAGTTACTTAGACTTTTACCACTTTTTCTACGGTCGTTTTGTCACCAGCGATATTACAGAACCGTTCAGGGTTTGTTTCTGAGACTTTATTTCTTTTTTACAGACTTCTTATTACTAACGATCTGAAAGAGGCGTCGAAGGCTTGTTACTCAGACAATTACCTCTTCCGTCTGTGTTTACCCCACTCTTCCCCAATGTGAACCATGAAGTTTAGGCTTCTAGCCCTCTTTCCAGACGTCGTAATCCTGGTGGGGTGGGGGTTGGGGATGGGGGCTGGGGGTGGGGGGGGGGGGGAGCCGCTCCAATTGCCGTCTTTGCCTGGACGTCTTTGTCCTTGCATCCATATATCATAACTTTAAGATTTTTTAAAAACATATTACAGAAAACTGCAACTTCGATTTTCTTATATCATGTAATAGCCGGATTAGTTATCCCGTGTATTACCACAACCACAACATCCATCTTTACTTCCCATGTGTTGTAGTGTAGGTGGGTTGACTTCGCAGACAAATACTTTTAGTTTAGCCGGCGTTTGGAGGCATGTGAGGTCTAAGCGTGATGATGATTGGTGGTCGGGGGGGGGGGGGGGGACTACACAAATTCAAAATCAAACGAAAATACATTTTTTCTTTAAATGTAGGAGGTTCAACGCCCTCATCGACACAATTTAGAATTTTTTGGAGACGGGGTTCAATCTGAGCTGATAGGAAAACAAAATCCCTGCAAGCTTGCTGAAAGACCAAGACTCTCGGTTTAAAAAAAAATCTCCCCACACAGGAATCATGCTCCCGTCTTCTGCGAGCTGCCAACTACTGTACCCCGGACGCCACTGACCACATACAATGCGGGTACTCAGTTGCAACGTCTGCAAGTTGGAGAAAGAGAAGATTGGGGGGGGGGGGGCATTCAGTTCTGGATCTGGGAATAGTTGTGAAGGTTGCATCAGGAGATATCCAAAATGGAGCTAGAAAAAGGAATATTAAAATAATTTGAAGACTGCACTGGGAAAATAATCAAAACAACTGACTCAATGACTTATTTGAATTATTGAAATCAACAGAGTGTGTCACGCTGACTGAAGAGGTGAAACAGTGATATAAGGTGAAAAAAAGGGGGGGGGGGGATTCCATACTTCCTTACCAAATTGAAAATGTTTTTCTTTCTGAAATATTGTTACTAAACTACTATGAGTAAAAAGATTATTACTTAACCTTACTTGCACATCTTTTCATCCTTTTCAGGAGACAAACGGCAACGGCTATGTAAAGTTCCAATATGTAGGTTATTGGAACGAGATGTTCTCCTACATGATTGGCTTCTTGTGTTTCTTTGCCACAATCAAATTTTTGAAACTGCTGAGGTAAGAATACGAAACGAAATTTAAAAACAATATAGATCACAACAAGTGACAATGCAGCATTCCTTCATACTTCTTTTAAGAGAGGCTTATACGTGTATAGCATCAAACAATGTTATAATTTTTAAAAAAATGAATGAACAAATACATACAATAAATAAATAAATGAATGAATACATGAAAAAATGCATTAATTAATAGATAAATAGATAAATACATGGATAAAACAATACATTTTGAAATACGCACGTCATAGTCACCAGCTAACCTTCTCAATGTCCCAGATTCAACAAAAAGATCAGCATGCTGTCCGCTACCCTGAAGCACAGCGCCAAAGGACTCATGCACTTCGGAGTCATCTTTGTCATCGTGTTCATGGCGTTTGCCCAACTCTTCTACCTGACCTACATGCACATCGACGTGGATTACTCCACCTTCATCTCTTCTGTCGTCGCCTCCATCCTCATGATGATGGGCAAGTTCAACATCTACTCCATGATCATGACTGAGCCGGTGCTCACACAGGTAAACATGGCATGGGATGTATTTTTTATTATTATTTTTGGGGGTAAATGTTTTACGGCGCTCGAAACTGCATAAGGTCATATGAGCGCTCGTAGGCGTGGGATCAAACATTATAGGAGGTCTGAAAAATAAAGAGACAAAGTCACATTGTGCTCAAATATTAGAGTTTGTTGTACGACAACACACGTCAGGGGAGACTATGCAGTGACTTTGACGAGTAATCTTTCTGATTCCTTTATCTGACTTTAGCTTATTTTGATCAATGTGTCTGGATTTTTGGTTTAGTTACACTTATTTGTGTATGAGTTGAACACACTCTCTAAACGTAAACTATTATCTAAATATAAGGTATTATAGAAAAGTGGGCTGGAAATACTATATACTAGGATCAAATGTATAGTATGACATTATATTATTTGGAAACATTTTGCTGACAGTGTACGTTACATTAATAGGGTATGTTCATATTTTCAGCCAATTAGACATGCATGTGAAGTTACTTTCAATCTAATATCCAGCCATACACTGCTTGTTAATCTCTAAATTATTCCTTTTCTCTTCTCACTTTTTGTCTCCTTAACCATCTTCTCTTTCCTGGAGTGGCACCAGTAGCCTAGCGGTTAGACTATCGGACCTGTAATCGTGAGATTGCCGGTTCGGGGGCTCGAGCCTCTGCTCGGTCCGACGTTGTGTCCTTTGGAAAGGCACTTCACACAAAGTTCCCATTTGGCTCGGTCTTTTCACAGACGAACGTTACACTCGGAGGTCTCACCTCTCAAACAACCTAATAGTGTTACTAGGGGAGTTAAACCTACACCATTTCACCGTTTTTTCCTCGCCCCTGACATTTACTTATTATATCCCTTTAAACTCGCTGCACTCTTAGTACCGAAAGGAATAGTTCCCTCATTTTTTTCTGATCACAAACCTTACACTGAATCCTCTATCTATGCCCTCCTCCCCTTGCCCAAACCCCCACCAGATCTTTGTGCTGCTGTACGTGATCACAGTGACGTTCATCATCGTGAACATGTTCATCTCCATCCTGAACGAGACGTTCACAGTGGTCAGAGAGGACATCAACAAACAGGGCAACGACTACGAGGTCGTCGACTTCATGTTACAAAGGTACAAAAATAGAATAGACAAAATATCGACCCAATCCTGTCCATTATGCAGCGAGGAGCCCCAAGATTTTGGAGCACTGGCTGCAGAGATGCTCCGCCACGGAGGTCCGACGGTGACATCTCTTTGGGGAGGATTTAGGGAAGTTGGACTGCCTCACCCGCTACCCAAGAGAGGCGGTGGCCCAGGGGAAGAGCACGCTCTTCGGGCTCCAAACATTTCGAACGGATAGGCTACCACACTCTCACAGTAGCCATTGTTGCCTCCAGTAAATACACGCAAAAGAATTTACTTATACGCTGAACACATACCTGTACTCACGTTTACAGTTACCAGGATGTTACTTTCTCAGACAGCTGCCAATAGCAACAGTATTCACTCTCACAGTAGCCACACACACACACACACACACACACACACACACACATACTCACAAAGGTATTCACCCTTACAGTAGCCACATACAACGGTACTCACTTTCACAGTAGGTACACGTAAGGGTACTCACTTTCACAATAGCCACACACAGGTGTACTCTTACAGTAGCCACAAACTAAGGTACTCAAACTTACAGTAGCCACACATAAAAATACTCACTCTCAAATAGCCACACACAAAGGTACTCTTACAGTAGCCACAAACTAAGGTACTCAAACTTACAGTAGCCACACATAAAAATACTCACTCTCAAATAGCCACACACAAAGGTACTCTTACAGTAGCCACAAACTAAGGTACTCAAACTTACAGTAGC